TACCGTATGGTCGAAAAAAACGGCGTCCAGAATGGCTTGAAAATAACGGTCGGTGACATTCTCCATAAAATTTTACACATATGTAAATTGACAGCGATCTTTATTTCATAGCCCTCGCTGACGCCGTTTTTTTTTTCACTACCATATTGTGTTTCCCATTAATCGCATGGTGGCAATACTAATTTATATTTAAAGAGATATATCTAAATGTGTATAAACTAGGTATTTTATTAGCAATCATATTTAAGCTATTATGACTCATATCATATTCTAATTATTTGAAACTTGAAACATAATATTTACTCCTATTATATTCATGTAACTAAATTTTCTAATATTAATAACTCTCTGATAATAAAAACAAAGAGTGTGTTTTGAAAAGTAAAGCATAATTACTGTGAAGAATAGTTTAAAAAAGAACTTACACACATGTTTTTTAGTCTATTTTCTTTATTATATTTGAAAACTACAGTCCCCCTTCCAATACATAAAAACATTTATATTCAAATATACTCTAGATAGAGCTCCAATTTTTATATGAAATGAGAATTTGTTCACACATAAACTACCGTATGATCGAGAAAAAACGGCGTCAACGATGGCTATGAAATGAAGGTCGCTGTCATTTTATATGTAAATTTATATGGGAAATGTCATTGATCGTCATTTCCCAGCCAACTGGACGCCGTTTTTTTCGAACATATGGTACATTTTATGTATTTTATTCTTTAATTTTAATTACTACAAATGGTCTTGATAGTTTTCTTTTGAATACATATATTCTTGTTACTCTCTTTCATCTTTGTCTCTAATAAACAGATGCATTGCAATTTGTTGTTAGTATATTTGTGTAATCATTTCATAAATCCTAAAAATAAAAATGGTTATAACATGCTTTCCAGATATCCATATCCACAATATTCTGTGTGTAAATATGTTCAATTTTTAATAACCCATTCACTAAATCAGATTGTGAGACAACATACAGGTAGCTGTTTAAATAATTTTCAATCTTTGTATGTAATAATAGATTTCACATATTATATGCATTACACAATATGCATTACCTGCAATAATAAAAGATATTTTCTTTAAAGTGTATAATTCTATCTAACACACTTCTAATAAAGTATACTCTGACTCTTCGAACATTTGTTACAGCTTCTAATAATTAGGTATATCGATAACTTCCTAAGAAATTTTGTTAGCACTTTTAGTTAGTTTACCATTTTTCTCAATATATTCTGCATAATATATGACTCGATACATTCACCTAGAATAAAATCAATAATATCATTTATGAATAGAAAACTACATGTATAACTTTTTCATTAATATTTGCAATTTCAGACCAGAACTTGTCTGAAGAGAACTTTCTATCCCATCCAGGGGGGGGAAGAAGAAAGGATAAGTTCGGGGTGGGAAGAGGGGCTGGAGTAGGACTTTGGACCTGGTTTAGGTTACTGGGGTGTGTGAGGATTCTCCTCTTGGTTTGTTTAAGAATATCTTACCCTATAACATAAATTTACATCTGAATTAATCTAATCAGATCAAATTTTCTTCATAGTATAGAAAACATCAAAACTGTTTGATTGGTAATCGAGCTATCAATAAGCTGACACTAAAATTTAATGCATTATTAAATGGGATAATTATTTTCATGTAAAACAAAACTTTATACTTAATAAGACCACAGGGAATACATAATTAACAACAGTGTTACTGAGATTTTTGATTTAATGTATTGCTTGGTATTTGTAGATCTATTATTGTATTGTGATTACAATTGCCTTCTTCTCCATTGATGCATCCTAATTTAAGATTACTGATTTTCTAATACGTAATTAAAGTGAAATTATTTTTCCTACCATTACATAATTAATTTCTTCCTACCATTAGGTAGATACCTGAAAGGTTAATAAATTAAAACAGATTTATTAAGACATTTAAACTGTTTACCTCATTTCTCACATATTTTTTTGACACAAAACATTATAAATAAATCAAAATATTCGTATACCAACTGAATTATATGATATTTAATTTTGAATAATAAAAGTACTTTTTTACAGGTTTATTTGGCATTGTTTGCATTGTTTTTTGTTGTTTTCTGTTTTGTTTTTGTGCGAGTTTAATAACCCACGAATAACTTTAAACATAACCTTAAACTACACACCATACTAGGAATGTACTATTCGAATCGATTTTAATCGAAGATCGATTTATATCAAATCGACGTGATTTTTATCAAACGATTTTTTGGTATAATCGATCTTTTTTTTTAAATCGAAGACCGATTTTAGGTAATTTATACAGTTTTACAGGTTTATTTATTTGTTAGAATTTAGAATAAGAAAAAACACTTTAGTTTCGCTGGAATATTTGTTTGCAGTGCATCCCTAGTAAAAGAAGAGTAAAAGGCCATCTAGCAATGAACTGAAAAATTAAGTGTAAGTGCTCGCTGCCGCATGCGCCGATGTTTGTTTATCACTTTGATATCAGGTGTCAGATTTTTGTCGGGGCTTCCCATATTTTTATATTTTAGATAACGTAGAATATTCTTTGATTTTACCTTAATTCTTTCTTGGGTAATACCCTTTCTTGTACTTTTATTTTATTTTTGGGATATCCCTACTCCATAATCATAAAATTGATTTATCTATCTTTATACAACCACCAAAACGTTGACCCATAATAGTAATACATCAGTCCAGTAGAGGACGCTAAGTCAAAAAATTTCTAAATAAAAATTTGTAATTTGTAATTCCTTCAGTGTTTTCGAAATCGTCGTCGGGGTTGTGTCGGTTTTGAAGAAATGTCGAAGAAAACCCCGGACTGTCTACCATCAGCCGCCGGATATAAGTAGTTTTTAAAGCAAGTTTTTTTAACATTTTTTATTGCATTTATGAGTTTAGTGTTTGATTATTATCATGTAAAAAATTTTAAATAATATTTTAAAAGTGATAGGCATGTGATAGGTTTGTGATATTCAGTTTAATAGATATTTGGTGTGTATGTGTTTGCGTATATGTGTGCTGGATAAAAAACACTTTCATTAAAAGGGTAAGCTCTAACTAAACATTAAAGGTTATAATTTTTTATTGAAACGATTGAAACTATTTATTAATATGGCGAAAAAAGAAGCTATAATTGTTAAGATTTATTTTTTCAGTTTACTCCACTGTAAAAAGTATTTAAAATATTGCGCGTTTCTCTAGAATTAGTAGAGCAATCTACACTAATATGAATAAAATTAATTTTCGTATTTTTTTCTGTAACAACTTAAAATAATTGAATTTATAGATAAACATGCAGAATGTGGGTATGGTAGGAGGTGGCAACGTTGCATTCTCTCCGACACTCTCTATGCCCGGTAAAGGAGTTTTCCGGGGAGTGAACAGTGGCACTCAAAAGTTTTTCAACATTTTCCGGAAAATGTCAAGAAAAATATAAAATTTTCAACATTTTTTTTTCGCAAAAAAAACCTCATAGGCGTGTTTCTGGGGTTGAACTATACTACCAGTTAAAATATCTGCACTCATTTCTGGGACACCCTGTATAATCCGCAGCACGTGTCGCCGCTGCGGCTCAGACAATTTATCAACTTAGACAATGTAGTAATTTAGACAATTTGTATTCTCTTATTAGTTATTGATCAGGCAGATGCCATTTTAAAAGTTGTAATTTTAATTAAGAAATATTTTTAAAACGAATTTGGCTGTTCTAGTTATTTAACCCATGTTAAAAAACCGGGAGCCGTCCACATTATAGTTTTCGTAATCATGAATCGTTTTGGTGAGATAGAGGTTCAGCTCGCAGCAGCGGCGCGGCGTGCGTTTGAATTTATTATGAATTACTTTTGAACAAAGAGAAAGAAAGTCGAGAAAAAAAGCGGTTTTGAGTCCGCCATAGCCTACCAGCAAGATCTAGATATAGTTGAACTCAATTAGCTTATCTTTTCAATACTTGCCTCGGCTGTTTCTCGTGGTGTGTTTCTGTCTTTAAAAAACATTTATAACTTAAAAGCAAACCATTTTGAATTATCCACTTCACCTAAACCAGTACCTGATTTGCATTCCCTTTGTTCCCTCTTGAACTGACCTATTAGATAACGTACTTTTTTCCCAACTTTTTCTCTTTCCAAATACATACTATGAAATGAAGATCGCTGTCATTTTATATGGAAAATTATATGGGGAATGTCATCGATCGTCATGTCCAAGCCAACTGGATGGGAGGCCGACTGGACGCATTTTTTTTCGATCATACGGTATTATTGACCAGTAAATAAACAAACAATATGAGCGGCTCAGCTAGAAATTTAGCAAGTGTGGACGCATTGTTTCATGTTGCACAACATCTTTTGATCTTTACCGACTACAAATGGATAACATCTAGCAAGTTATATAGCATCGAAATTTGCTAAATATGACTAAAAAATATGTAATATGTTATGCAACTTTGCTATATGCAACTTTGCTATATAGCAGTGTTATATAGCAAGTGCGGACCGTCCTTTGACCATTTGAGGACTACATGGGAAAAACCAGATCAGTCACATTTTCATAGAAATTAAGATAGCGACACTACTTTATAGGCAAATGTTAGTCAAACGTTATTCGAATCAATTTAGTGTTCTTACCTATTATCCATGTTAATAGATAATAAATATTTTGGATTTTTATTTTTTATTTTTAAAAATATAAAAAAATATTTTTTATTTTTAAAAGTGCTGGTTTTAGTAATTATTAAATTAAAAGAAACTAAAAAACAATAATTCTCAACCATAACCTGTGCCATAACCCTATAAAATAATCAAAATAAGGCATATCTTCTGTCAACGATTGCTTCTTTGATCTGATGCTTCGCATGACCTTCGCGTCATGACTAGGTCATGCTGTCCCGCACCCGTCAATCAAGGCCGACTCGCGGCCTTCAATTTTTACTCCCATCAGAAGTGTCACATCAAAAGAAAAAAGGCAGTAAGAAAAAATCAAATATAAAATAATTAAAAAGTGCTTTATTTCCCTCTTAACGACTTGTACGCATTTCAACTGGAATATAAGTAACGTTGTGGTGTTTAAAATATGTATTTATGTATTTGTCTGATGAGATTGAGCGGTATACCGAACACCAATTTTGGGAACTTAAGGGCGGCATAGCCGATGGCGGTCGCGACGAACAAGCTCAACTTCAACAATTTAATGACCATATGGACGGGAACGGCCAGCACGCGGGCTATTAATGGCGGCGCAGAAGAGTAGAAATGTTGAATGGCCGTTATTATCTCTTCTTTAAAGGTATTGGCATCTGTGATCATATTGGATACCACCCCTGAATGAGTGCCAAAGAAATCCTGTAATTTTGTAAGGATCGTAGTCGCACGGGTATTGACAGTACCGAGAAGATCTTTTACTTCACCATCGCTTTTCACGACCGTGAAAATGGCAGCCGCTTGCTCTGCATCATCGGCGGTGCAAACGTAGAAACACTAAAACAAAAACTATGAGATAACATCAAAAAAAGTATTTGTTATGCCTACCTAAAGATATTTAAACTCGGGAGATACAATGATCCATTCATAAAACGCTCCAAAACTTTATCACACATTGGTTTGCGAAAACCAACGAGTGCGAGAGAGAATGGATAGAGAAGGAAATGAGGGCATCTGCGCGATACCAACAATGTACGTGTGTACAAAGATTAGACGTTTGTGTGTGTTTCCAGTGGCGTGCGGAGCGACCGACAGTATTTTAAGGAAATTAAAATAATTGTTTAATAAATATAAAAAAATAATAAAACTTACATATTTATGGCATTGTAAAAAAATAAGTTGAGGGAGGATAGTGAAATAAATAAAGATCGGCATAATTTTTTATTACAAGATGTGTTTCGTCTCCGGCGAATGAGACTCCCTCTATTAGCAATAACAAAATAAAATAATTATTTTAACCTAGTAACACAATATTTTACCAAAAACTAATATTTGTAGAGTTCACATATATTTTTGATAAAAACTTTATTATTGAACAGTGAATAAAATTTAAAATGTGCCTTATAATTTTTATTAGTTCACAATTGTTCACTAATGGGGGAATAATTAACTTTCATTTTAGGAATGTTCCAAACACAGTGAATCAGAACTCAAAATATAATATGGATATTATACTAAGGGTCACACTTAGTAAAATAAGATGTATTGAATATGTTTTGGTCTCTGTCTAACACATTTGAATTGGCGGTATCGATTGTTTTTGATAAACAGTAAAATTGTCACGTGATCTATAGTTTTTTTAGTTTTTTGTTTAATAAAAATTTTTCATAGAGATTTGTTTAATGATTTTTTCCAGTTCACAATCCCCAAAGAGCCCATGGGTATTCTTACGTAATTTACTGGCAGTCCCGTTGTGAAAGGAATCATTAGAAGCATTTCATATTTGATCTTTTACAGGTTACATGATTGAAAAACTCCAATTCCCCAATTCCCGATTTCCAGTAATCAAAACGAAATTTGCTGTATTTCAAAAACGGTAAGAGTGGCTGGTATAGAGTTTGAAGCAGAATGAGGCAGGATTAGCCAAAGCCAAAGCAGGAACTTGTTTCAGCCATCCTGCTTTTATTGTGTTGCTATGTGTGACGTCACTAATCAGACTTAAACTTGCTCTATCTTAAAAACAGCAAGTGTTGCTGGGATGAAATTTAGAGCAGGATGCAACAGGGGAATAGCAGCGCAAGCAGGAACCAGTTTTGGTGATCCTGCTTCTCATGTGTTGCCAACTGGGAAGTTAGTAACCAAAATAAAAGTAACTATAGCTCAAAATTGGTAGGTGTGGCTGGGTTGGGATTTGAAGCAGGATAAAGCAGGATTGTAGCAGCCCAAGCAGGATTGTATTTTATAATTCCTGCTTTCAATAAGTTGCTAACTTCCCCGATCTAACTTCCACCCCTCACCAAAAAAAAGCTTCCAACACTGCGATTGTTGACAGAGCCTTATTCCTTTTTTCCAGGATCGGATTTGTTCTAATATTTAATTATTTATGATGATTTATTACTTTTAAAGTTTTTTTATAACTTATTTTGTATAAAGTGTTATATATCTATATTATTTTGTCTATTATACAGGGTGCTACAAATTCGAGGTACGAGCATTGGTATCTCGGTAACCGTAATAGATACGAACATGGTTAAATCGGGGCAAAGTTGCGTTTTAGGATGTTCACAAAGATGCAATCAAAATTTTTTTAAAAATTTCAAGGATTGCTGAGTTTTTTGGAAAAAACGGATTTTTTTGAAAATCATTTTTATTTTTTTTTTGGCGTTACTTTTTAGGAAATGAAAAAACTAACTGCACATTCTCATTGCCACTTTATTAGAGCTATTTGATAGTATTTTTAGATTTTCAAATTAGCTGATAATTTGTAAGATACAGGGGCCAACTTAATTTTTTTAAATATGGACCTGCATTTTTTATTTCAGATTTTGAAAGAACTCTGTCTCCTGAGTAGAATGATATGCCACACTTAATTTTTTTTTATGTTTCGGGCATTTGAACATAATTTTTTAAACTAATTTCAAGTCCGGCTCTGTTTTTTAAAGAATTTAATCTATTCATCGTTACAATATTGAGATAAGCTTTCAAACTTAACAATGACGTGGGGTAAAACATTGAATACGGTAAATCAAATGCAATAACTAAATGGGCATTACTTGGCGTCATTTGTAAAAGTGAAATCAATACATTTCAACATTTACAGTAAAGAGTATAAAATGTATTCGGAACTATAACAAGAAGTTATGTTCAAGTTCAAAGATCTATAAATAAGATTGAACAAAAAATAAATTTGTGCATTAGTTATTAACATAACCCTTTTGAATATGTAGAGCATTAGAAACTAGTTTATAGAAGTTGATTTATTTATAACAACTATGATTAATATTATGAATATTATTAGATTAGACCCTGAGATTCCAAATTCACAATAAAAAAAGTTAAAAATCATATATTTTTAAATTGCTAAAGTAGGAGATATTAGCCGATTGGGCTCCTCCACATGCGCAGTTCGCTTGACCTTGACATATGTGGCTTTCAAACCTCCTTGAGTGATTCCAGAAAGAACCTTGTTGTGAGACCTTAAACGACCTTTAAGGTTGACTTTCAGATGTATTTGAAATGCGTTTGTGTACCCTTCACAAGTAACTAGTTTTGTTGTTGTTAAGGTGCCCAAAACAAAAAAAAGGTATAAAGTGTGACATATAATTATACTCAGGAGACCGAGTTCTTTCAAAACCTGAAATAAAAAATGCAGGTCCGTATTTAAAAAAATTAAGTTGGCCTCTGTATCTCACAAATTATCAGTTAATTTGAAAATCTAAAAGTACTATCAGATAGTCCTAATAAAGTGGCTATGAGAATGTGTAATTAGTTTCTTGATTTTCTAAAAAGTAACGACAGCAAAAAATAAAATTGATTTTCCAAAAAATCCGTTTTTTCCAAAAAACTCAGCAATCCTCGAAATTTTTAAAACTTTTTTGATGGCATCTTGGTGAACATCTCAAGGCGCAACTTTGCTCCAATTTAACCATCTTCGTATCTATTACGGTTTCCGAGATACCAATGCTCGTACCTCGAATTTGTAGCACCCTGTAGAGTAGATGAATTACTAGCAACAATTGAATTTAATTAAAAACATATTCATAAGCACAGTTTTTTAGATTCAAATTATAAAAATTATGTAAGGTGGTAAGAAACCTTTGTTAATATTGGATACTTTTTTCAGTCTTTTTTGTTTACTATATTTTGTTATAATGACATAAATTAGGATTGATTGACGTATTCAATTGTTTTCGGTCACTTTTTCTGTTTCACCGGAAATAATTACAACTTTTGATTTTTAAATTACACCCTCAGTTTTATTTTTACTTTATTCAATAGACTATGAATGACATATCATATGTCAACTTTTGAGATTTTCGCATATGGTTTTCGCATTTGACATTCAAAACTACAAAAAATTTGATATTCAAAACTATAAAAAAAGACTGACCACAGATGTCGTTTCTATATAATTTGGCAGTACGATATGTATTTTTAAGGTAAAATAGAAAAAGAATCTAATTTAGAAACTAATACAGAAACGAAATTTAAAATAAAAGCATTTGAAAAAAAAACAATTTATTGTTTTTCGTGGTTCCAATTTTCGGAATCGGGCACTAGTTAGGTGACTAGTTTGCGCACATAGCACGCCCACTTATGGCCTCTAAAATTGTGCACAGCGCCTGACCGGCACAGTTATTAGAGAGATATCGGAAAACCGAATAGCGTCATCCAGTATTTACGCGTACCTTATCATGGTTACGATATGCGCGAGTCAATTTTTAACGCAACACCCGCTAATAACGTTACCGCCTGACGTAATTTGCGGATCAATTACACCAAGAGCTCTTTCTAAATAACTACTGATAACGTTTAAAAATTGCTTAAATGGGCACGTGCGGGTATTTGACAACCGGAGCCGGCCGGCGAGATCTTTTATTTTAGGTTATGTTTGAATTGTTTTGAATTATTGCTTTAGTTTTATTAGGTAATTTGATATTTAAGTAGCTGGGTTTTAATTAAATAAATATGGCCCAAAATATGGATTCCACCTCTTCCAATACTAAAGAACCTATGAAGAGTCAGGTTTACAGCAGATGACGACTTAGCCCTTCTAAGATAATTTGTTGCTTGTTGGCCTAAACCCATTGGCAGACGTTGAACAATAAAGCACTGGAAATAAGCACTTTAGCCCTTTAGTTTTGAAATATCTAGTACACAAAACAATTTCAAAGTTATGTTAAGTTTAAATAGCGGACGCGACGCGATCAGAATTCTTTCTGATCCGATAACTATAAATGAAGAGAGTTAATACCACCTCACGTAAAGGAAATAACACCTGGCCTTATTAACGTCCATGCACGCTATTCGGTTTAGCGATATCTCTCTATTACGCTGTTTATTGTTATTTTACGCGAGTTTATTTTTGCGCAGAGGAAATTGGACTCGTTTGCACATCGTCATAAAAAACAATTTTCGTACCACGAATTAGGGACAAGATTTTTATCTGTATACTTATAGGATACCTAATCTGTGCTTAAATCAAGAAATTAACTTAGAGTCTATTACGCTGTACTGTTCGGGTCGCTCTCAGGGGTCTGGTAAAGCGGTGTGTGGCCGAAAGAAATATATCGCCGTATAGAGAGTGAAAAAAAAGTGAGTGTAAAATTAACAAAATCGGAAATTTTCCCCTTGCTGTTTTTGAGCAATAGGGGTGTTTTGTTTAAACTGTACTACAACAAAATAATTAGACGCAAATTGTACATAAGAACATTCTCTATAAATTCCCCTAATGAATTTTTTTCATAAGTTTATTATTTCCGGACTTAGCGGCCGTTTCATGAGCCCTTTGGGGTGGTTTTCAAAAAGTTTGTTTTACAACAAATTGACCCGTATGAAAGTTGTTCATAATAAATGGACAAGCAACTTTTCCTCATGACTTTTTTTTTGTAGCTTGATTATTTTTGGAGATAGCGTCCAGTTCATGAACAAATTAGGGTAGTTTTCAATGTTACTTTTTTTCAACAAATTCACCCTAGGAAACTCGTTCAAAATAAGAGTACATATACCTTTGTCTTATGAACTTTTTTTGTAACTTGACTATTTTTGGAGATAGCGCCCAGATCATGAACCCAGCGCCAGATTATGGTGGTAGCTTTAAATGTTTTTTTTTTCAGGAAATTCACAAGTGCTATTGGAAAATGGATTCGTGTTTTATTTGCAAGAAATTATTGAATGTTGCTGAAATTGTGGACGTTCAGAGAAAAGGACTGGAAATTCTTCTAAATGCAAGTGGCGTAACAACAGACTCACGGGCCTGTGTGCAAAAATTTTACCGGGCCCCCTATTACACCTACATATTTCAATACTTATATACTAATCTGAATAATATGCACTCATATTTTAGGTTAGAAATCAAATTAATTTTTACATATACTACTATTTATTACTGCAACACAGAATGTAACCCAAAATATATAAAATATCAAATAAATATCAAAACAAAAAAATATCAAACAAAACAAAAAACAACAACAAAACTAACTAAATTAAAATAAACAATGTAAATAGGAACATGAACATGTTAAAATTCTTTTTTCCGTGCTTTAGCATAGACGAAAGTTGACACAATATTACCAATGTCTATTGTACGAGTAACTTCATTTTCTATTGAAATTATTGCCAAAAAAGTGGCAGTTTCGGGCACCTCTCGTAACTCAGATGCCTTATCGTCCCCTTAATACAACCATTAGGTAACTAGAGTTTTTGTGATTTTGAGTTAATTAGTTTGGACAGTATAATTTTTCATACTCTTTTTGATGCTACAACTATAGCTTAGATCTATTTCTATTCGATGGTATAGAAATCCAGTGACAATACAGCAAATTTCCTTTTTTGTCAAATTTAATGCTCTAATGAAAAATCACATATTTCCAGTTATTTTTATTTTGCAAAATAAAAAGGAAAACACAGCTACAAAATTGCACAAGAACAAGTGTAAAGTAATAAGTTATTTTCGCGATAGCGTGTGCTAGTTAAGTCGTTAAGAAGACATGTGATAGATAAGAACTTAGTTCGGGATCGCCCGATTCTGCTTGATTCGCGATAGCATGTGATAGATATATGGAATGCACATCGATAGTTACGCCACTGTGTGGGTAGGGGCAATCTGAGGAGCCAACGCCAGGTCCATCACACAAAAAAGACACACAGAAAAGAAATATTCATTCACTTGATGAATTCCATGTTTCGTTTTGGGGAAATAAATACATACCATAGGGAAGTTTGCATGTAATTTTAATATGAACACCTTTAAGTTGGTAAATTTGTAGAACTAAACAAAAATTATGAAACTACCCCAGTTTGTTCATGAAGTGGACGCTATCAAACCAAAAATAATCAAGCTACAAAAAAAAATCATGAGGAAAAGTTGCTTGTCCATTTATTATGAACAACTTTCATACGGGTCAATTTGCTGTAAAACAAACTTTTTGAAAACTACCCCAGAGGGCTCATGAAACGGCCGCTAAGTCCGGAAATAATAAACTTATAAAAAAAAATCATTAGGCGAACTTATAGAGAATGTTCTTATGTACAATTTGCGTCTAATTATTTTGTTGTAGTACAGTTTAAAAAAAAACACCCCTATTGCTCAAAAACCGCAAGGGGAAAATTTCCGCTTTTGTTTATTTTACACTCAGACAGTCGCTGACAAACTTTGAAAAAATCAGCTTGCTCGTAATTTTTTTTTCAAATGACAATTTTATTGGATCCTGCCCTTATTGGATTTAGCCCCATTCTGTCGTGTTAAGCCAGACTGAAAATTCAAAACACATGTGCTTTGATTAAGGTTTGATAAAAGTTTGTAGAGCTTCAGCATTTGCCATAAAATAGTGAGCAATTTGTTACAAAACCATATTGTTATATATCACTGTAATCACAAAACTTCAATCTATTTCAGGATTGTAAAAAAATTTTAAATTATGTCTTTATTTTCGAGACAATTTAGTCCAAACATAAGGAATATTTTGGTGATGTTTGACCATCAAAATCTTAAAAATTAAGTTGTATAAAAGTTTGCTACAATACGGATATAGTTAACCCTTTATCTTTCATTTCCTTCTTCATTTGTGTAAAAATACCTAGCCAGTTTTACATAAAACGTAAGCCGCGTCCAAGCTACTCGAACAAAACGTTCGCGAACATATATAATTCACACTATATACTCGTAGCAGCAGGTCATAAACGACGGCACAGCCCATCGCATCGGTCCCGAGGACTGAGGTGCGGGGAAGAATGGCGACAACCAGTTTGCTCTATAGATTTAGGATGCGTTTAGGTAGTAGCTGTTTTTTCGAGTGCCCGGATTTCGAGTGCAAGCATTTTATTAAATAAATTAACCGGTAAACAGTTTAAGAACTTTTGTCGTTGAAGAATCAATATTTAGCAGGCGGAAGGTTACAGGGATCTTTTGGTAGATTATTCGTTATAGTGTATTTTTAAGACCTGTATTCATTTTCAGCCGATTCTACCAGGTGTTTCTCAAAAGGGGCACACCTTTTTACTTTTTTATTTTTTCAGATAATACAACGAAATTTGGTTTGTTAGTATATGACATAAATCGGGATTGATTGACGTATTCAATTACCTTCGGTCGCTTCCTGTTTCATGGGAAATGACTACAACTTTGTATTTTTAGATTGTATCCTAAGTACTTTTTTACTTTATTTGATAGAAAATGACATTCTGAATAGAATGACATACCATACGTCAATTTTAGACAATTCCAATTAAATGAAAATAGCATTTTAAATTTCAATCTAGAGTGCTAAGACTGAGTTAAAACTATTAATTTGTAATCAAAGAACTTTGGAAACATATATTTGATCGTGTAACTTTTTTTCGTATCCTTTAATGATAACTCAAATTTTTCACATGGTACGAGGCTCGCTCAGCATATTTGGAAAAAGCATTTTTTACGAATAATTTGGTACCACATACTTCGTATTTAGAGTAAAATTGTCGTTACGTTTATTTATGGCCATTTTTTAATTGAAAATGTCAAAAGTTGACATATAATATATCATTCTATTTAGAATGTCATTTTCTATCATATACAGTAAAAAAATACTTATTTAAATCAAAAGTTGTTGTCATTTCCGGTGAAATAGGTAGCGACCGAAAAAAAATTAAAAGGTCGATCAATCCTGATTTATGTCCTATACTAACATACCAAATCTCGTTTTTTATCTAAAAACTTAAAAAGTTATAGAAGTGTATAACTTTTCAGAAACACCCGGTATATTTATTTCTAAAAATGCAATGGTAAAATTTCATTTCCGGTGTCAAACTTCCTATTAAGTGGTAATTTTTAATTTCAGAATCCCATAATTCCGGTTTTTAATAAAAATAATCATAAAGGTCTTTATTAACAAAAATGTAATTATATGGACGAAGTCTAGCTACATAGCTATTCACGCTCAACCCACAATAAAATTAAAATTATAAAATCTTTTCTTTGTGTAAACAAATTAGTTGTAAATGTTTTTCACGATCCCAGTCAATAACTGCGTCTCCCATTGTCGAATACTCGGTAAAAAATAAATATCACAGATGGACGCCCGAAATTAAATTAGACCCTTCCAAGTGTCCGGTACAATGTCCGTCCAAATGCACGCCGTTCGCTCCTTTTGATTTACCGACACCCGTCGGAAAAAGAACGCGCGCCCTCTAGCATGGGCAGACACACGCTCTGGCGTACAAGCTAGCCGTTCGGCGCTCCGCGCTCCTTAATAGGCCTAGGCCCTAGGCTAGCTGTACTTGTCGGCTTTATTATTTATAAATCTACCTATCTCACAATTTTCACTTAGTATCAGTTTAATTATATATGTTCGCGAACATTTTGTTCGAGTAGCTTGGACGCGGCTTTAAATGCCGAACGCTTACTTTGCTACTTTCTCGGACTAGTGGATGCTTAACTTACCCCAAGGAAGGCGGCGAAGAAAAACAAATATTTTAAGGTAAACATGGCGACCTGTAAGTCGATACTGAACGGGACCGTCAAAAAAGTCAATAAAAGCTTTTTATACAAAAAAAAATTCTGACGCTATTTATATCCACTAAAAATATTTTATTGTTTTCGAATAAAATAAATATAAAAAAATAATAAAATATAATTTTGTAATTTAAATTAAGAAATACCTGTATTTTTGTGAAATGTTTAAAAAATCATACCAATCACAATAAAGAAAGTTTTATTATAGACTGTACAGGGTGGCGCCTCTCATACGACGCAGAGGCTCCAAGAAGAACGGTAGTTTATATCGAAATAAAATTTTGGTAATATACCGGGTGTGTCTCAAAAGTGGCTCACCCCTATAACTTTTTTATTTATTGAGTTAAAAAAAACGACATTTGTTATGTTAGTATATGACATAAATTAGGATTGGTTGACGTATTCAATTGTTTTCGGTCACTTCCGGTTTCACCGGAAATGACTACAATTTTTGATTTTTAAATGGCACCCCCGGTATTTTTTCACTTTATTTGATAGAAAATGTCACTCTGAATAGAATGACATATCATATGTGAACTTTTGACATTTTCGCATATGGTTTATTTGAAATTAAAACTTGCGTTTCTTAACGAAAATTTGACTTGAAATACCAAGTGTGTGGTATCAAATTATTCGTAAAAAATGCTTTTTCTAAATATGATAATGAGCCACCCTCGTTCCATTTGAAAAAGTTGAGATATGATTAAAAATACGATTGGAGCATTTTCTAATTGGCCAGGACAAGACACTAAAAACATTAGACGATCGAATCTATTTTTCCAAGGCTCCTTCATGAAGAATTAGTGTTTTTAACATAGCCATAGCACCCTAGATTGAATTTTAAAATACAATTTTTTATTAAGCCAGAATGTCAAATGTTGACATATGTTATGTCATTCTATTCAGAATGTCATTTTCTATCGAATAAAGTAAAAAAATACCGAGGGTGCCATTTAAAAATCAAAAGTTGTAGTCATTTCCAGTGAAACCGGAAGTGACCAAAAACAAATGAATACACCAGTCAATCCTAATTTATGCCATATACTAACATCTCGTTTATTTATAAAAAATATAAGTTATAGGGGTGAGCCACTTTTGAGACGCACCCGGTATATGTAGGTTAACTGAAAACATTTTATAAAAATATACAGAGTTCTATGCAGGGTGTTCCCAAAAAAGTTACGCATCAAAGTTGTTTTTTTTTTGTAATAGAACACCCTATATATTAATTGATTTTCGGATTTTAGGTAAAAAATAAAGGTGAATTTTATTAAAGAAGAATATGCCTAAAATGTAAGGATTTTGACATATTTCACATTTTGTGAAAATGAGGAATAAATTTGAAATTTCAATAACAGCTACCTGAATTGTAATTTACCCTGTATAGCCTGATATTTGATTCTAATAACCATTGTATGTTAAACCAAATTAAAATTTGACCCGAAAAGTTATACAGGGTGACACAAAATTAATATTGAATATTGGTCACATTTAAAAGCAAGTTACTCCTTTTTTTTAATAGAACACCCAGTATATTATTCCGATGTTCAATGGAGAATTCATATATCTTCAAAATATTAATAAGGTTGCCTACCTCTCAGAAAAAGATTTTAATAGATATTTTCATTTTTATGATTTTGCGTTAGTAGACCTTTATTTTGCCTTTATTATTTGAAAAAGCCTAGATGGCTGTGACATAGCTTTTGTTAATTTGACAAAAATAAAAGGATATAGAGTAAATAGTTAACGGTAATAAAAAGATACACGTTTAAGACATATTTTCCTTATTGCAGAATTAAAACTGGATATAAACGTATAGTGACAATTAGCTAGAGTAAATCAAATGCTCAAAGTGCTTCCTTTCCTGTTCATTGCCTAAAATTATTCTCTGTTCAAAATATATTTTCATGTTAAAAGGCATATTATGTGGAGTTCTACTTCGAAAAACAGCTACAGTCATTTCTCTCATATTGTCGACAATAGTTGGTCCAGTTTTGTAAACACTGTCTTTAAAATATCCGCATAAAAAAACCCAGACTAGATAAAATCAGGAGCATTTAAGTATTCTATTAATTGATAAATGCACACTACATTCACTAATAGAATCATATCATTTCTCTCTGATGTAGGATAAGTTTCCAGTTTCGGCAAATATCTGAGAATATTTTTTGTGTTTTAACTGACACAAAATGATAACTAGTTGTTAAAATTGATCTAAATAGACAGGTATGTTGAAGTAACGTCACACATATCACAGCCACCTAGATTTTATCAAATAAAGATCTACTGACACTAAATCATAAAAATGAAAATATCTAGCAAAACAAGAATAATAGAATTTTCTATCTACAACCCTAATAATATTTTGAAGAGACATAAATTCCCCATTGAATATCGGAATAATATACTGGGTATTCCATTTAAAATAAAAGTGTAACTTGCTTTTAGAGGTGACCAATGTTTAGTATTAATTTTGTCTCACCCTGTATAACTTTTTTGGGTCAATTTTTAATTTGATTTAAGTACAATAGTTATTTTAACTACATGTACTATATACAGGGTGTTTCAAAAAACATGTTCCATCTCTCGTGGGGAGATTTCTCACGTAAAAATAAGATTTATTTTTAAAGCTAAAAACATATTTTAAAGCTACACATATTTTAAAGCTAAAAAAAGTGTCTACATATTCACCAGGGACGTGCCTATTGGTTATCACTGGATATTTTTCTAAAAAAAGCATGTACCCCACTGACTTGTAAGCAAACTAGTGTAAGCACTTTAATGCCGATTAAAAGTTGTCTATTGATATTTTGTCGATTTCGGCTTCCTTGATGAGATAAACGCAATTTTATTAATTTGCCTTGATCCAAGTCTAAATAGCAACAAAAATAACAACCTTTAAAAAATTTAATATCAGTAACTTGCGAAAGTTTTAAATAAGTAAGTACTGATTGATTTCTCATCAGAAAATATGAAAAAAAAAGTTCCTATAAGTATGGGTATGGAAATGCATAGTTTTAGAGTTTCAGGACGTTAAAACTATTTAAAATTAGGTTTTTTGTAATTATATTAAATACAAAATTTTTTTAAACTCTGACAGTGATTTGAAGAGATAGTAATATAGTCTAACATCAAAAGAACCTTTTTCTGCACTAGAGGTTGCGAATGAAATGTATTCGAAAAGCATACATATATACATATACTGGGGTGTAAGGGGTATTGAAGCGATATTCGAAAAGCATTTTTTGTCACTTGTACATAAATTTCAAAATAAATCCCTACCCTTTACAAGTCTAAAAGGTACTTTCAGGCTGAGAGCGCCGAGCGTCGCGTCGCGTTTGCGTCGCGTCCGCGTGTCGAAATGGAATCAATTCACTTAACTTAAATTAGACCGTTCAGGCAGACAGCGTCGCGTTTGGCGTTGCGCTAGCGTCCGCTGAGCGTCGGGGTTCGAGTTCAATGCCAACCCTAGTAGTCAGACTCATCTAAAAAGTTTTATTAGCTTGAATAATAAATTACAATACAAGTTAGAGCTTCTGAAGATATCAAAATATTTACTATTTTATTTTTATTAAACGGTTTTATTTAGCTCGACCCGTACGGTATTTATTTATTTGGGTCAAAATTAGAAATTGAAATTTAAGTACCTTCCTGTTGTCAGATTGATCTGAAATTTGGTACACACCTTTAGTTCCGATGACAATACAATATAGTAATATCAATAACATGCAGTACAAAATGGTGGGTTTCATATTTTTCCACAACCCCCTCAATATGGGTATCAAATGAAAGGGTTACACTAGTAGAACACTGTGGTTATGACAAAATTTAAAATCCAAGATGGACGTCGTTACAAAATGGCGTATTAGGTGAGGGCATGAGTAGTCGTGTCCAGAACAGTTGTGTCCAAGATTATGTGACGTTAGAAGGACAGAAAAAAAAAATAGGTGATTAGATGTACCTACGTAGTTAGCGGTAGCTTTACCACCCAAGTTAAGGTAATAGGTTAAAACGTGCTGAGAACTGTATGGCATTAGGGTGGCTAAAAATGTAATGTCGCAAGCGTGTTCCCCTCAAGATTGGGCGCCTCTTGTGTATATTATAGTCTTGCCCCTCTACTGGACCTCTGGGGGGGTCGACCGTTAAAATGTCCATTACTCGTGGGAATAACATGGAAACAATAAATAAAAAAACAAACAAAAATAAATTATCAGGTAAAAAACCATGTAATAATGATGCACTAAATGAATTAAATAGAATGAGGAATATTCGGTAGGCATTTCCGTTAAATACTAAAAACTAGAAAATAAAAAATCAGTAAAAAAACTTTTAAGTTAAACGGTTTTATCTTATGTGCACTGAAAACTAGAAAATAATAATAACAATTAGGTATTTTGAACTTCTAGTTCAGAAATATTTTAGTACTAGGCAGAATAGCTTTTAGGCATATTAGACTAAAATAAAAACGCGGGGCCCCTCTGAAATCCTACCTATGGCAAAGCATATCTTTATACTTTGGTAGATCATGAGCTCGGAGTTCGCTGGTGAAGCCGCCACGGCTGGTTATTGATTATCAAAATCTCCAGTTACGATTATAGTAAGTCAATGCAATCCACACTTAGTATAGAAGAAAGTATTACAGCAATAGTTAATGGGCCCCACGTTTTTAGTTTAGTCTAATATGCCTAAAAGCTATTCTGTCTTGTACTAAAATATTTCTGAACTAGAAGTTCAAAATACCTAATTGTTATTATTATTTTCTAGTTTTCAGTGCACATAAGATAAAACCGTTTAACTTAAAAGTTTTTTTACCGATTTTTTTTTAGAATTTTCTCAAATTATACTTTCTAATACTTTTAGAATAATTATATAATATATAATTTTTCGTATACTCGCTATTTAAATGCCGATGGTGGCAGCACCGGAGGAGAATGCACTAAGCCTATAGCACAGATTATACAGATTACAAACTTATCGTCAAAAGCATTGTTTTTCGTGGTTCCAATTTTCGGAGTCGCGCACTAGTTAAGTTACTAGTTTGCTCACATAGCACGCCCACTTATGGCCTCTAAAATTGTGCACAGCGCCTGACCGGCCCAGTTATTACGCTGTTTCAACGCGAGTTTATTTTTGCGCACAGGAAATTTTACTCGTTTGCTCATCGTCATAAAAAACAATTTTCGTACCACGAATTAGGGATAAGATTTTTATCTGTATACCCATATGGGTATACCTAATCTATGCCTATAGGTACTATTTTAATCAAGTAAAAAAAGCACGAATTATTTTTGTATAGTTATGAGATTAATGATACATTTATATTATTTTTTAATCGGAGAAAAAATCGAAAGTTTCATTTATATCACCTAATAAAATATTTTTATTGAGTGGAACAATTGCAAAATAAATTTTGTCCCGTTGTTGTGAAAAAAGTGGTTAGCTGTTAGCGCATTTCAAGATGTCGGCTGCCAAATATTTAATATGCATTGCGGCAGTTATTGGAGTAAGTACGAATGTATTTTATAACAAAATCTATTTTAATATTACTGTATTATTTTGTACAGGGTGGGTCAAATTGGACGCTTTTAAAGGGAAACGCCCTTTTCTATAGGAGATAGACGAAAACTAATATCGGTGTCTGGAGCTCAATTTTCATCAAAAACATGATGGTGAAAATCGTACATCGATATGTGTTACCGTTTCGGAGTTACGGGGTGTTTTTTAAAAATGTGCATTTTTAACAAATCGCAGTAACTTTTTTGCTATGGAAAATTTTGTATTTCTATGAAAACATTTCCAAAGCACCTTTTTACGTAGAATATAATGGTTGAAGTATATCTTTTTTTTTAAATTAATAATTTAAGAGTTATCAACAGAAAAATTGATTTTTTATTTGGGACACCCTGTATATTTTTAATTAACTGAAAATAACTTAAAATTACCTATCCAAAAATATAGCACACAGGATATTTTGTTATAATCCCCTTCGAAATACAGAATTTTTAAGTTCGCCACTTTTGACTAGTAGTAGTCAGTGGCGTTGACCTTAAAAAGCAATAAAATATTTCAGTGCTGGACACCAGCACCAAATTTGGCACACAGCTTCTACACATAATAGGGCTTCAAAAATTTCCGGGAGACAATCTCTGGCATGTCTGGATCATCCTTTGATGGCGTCATCAAAATGGCGGACAAAATTTTTAGCAGGAAATTAGATTATTACCAGTAATTTAGTTATTTTTTAACCGATTTTAAGTTTAAATAGCTCATTTTAAAACTTGAATAATTTGCTAAAAAAAACTTATATTCATTTTTTAGGGGGGAGTAGTTTTAACGCATCCCTTAAAATTAATTTAAAATTGTGGTAATTAGTAAGAACTGACAGCTTTATTGTCAACAAATTGTGTACAAAATACAAAACCAAAAAAAAATATATTAAATATTGTTAGCATCACCAGTCAACAGTCGCGCTCCTGGTTGCTCGCATAATGGGGATTGCGGCGATCGGTGGGAGGACGCTCTAGAACCACTAGAGATTCATCATCTAAAAAATATTAAGCATAAAACAGTTTTTTAATTTTAATTATTGTTTGTCCCTCCCTCCACTAACACACCACCTGCCCCCACGTTCGACTGAACTCTAATAATTTTCTTGTATTGCATGCAAAATAAAAAACATTTTTTTGGGATTTATTAAATGTTTGTTAATAATTTTAGAAAACTAAAAAAAATCCTACCCATTTTCCACTGTCCCCACTCCTTCCCTCTAATAAATTTTCTCAGCCCGCCCTGACCCTTTTTATCCCCTCAATCAAGCAGAACATTCCAGCAGTATAGCGAAAACAACGTTTAATCTTATATTCGGTCAAGACTTGCAACGGTAGATAGGGTCGATATTGTTTTTGATCAGTATATCCCGCAAACTTAAAAACAGGGACAAGGGAGGCGAGAGGTTCTGGAGATAGGGTAAGCATAAAACCCAATGTGGTAATTCTCAAAAATTTTAATTCCTTCTTGGCACACAGCCAAAATAAACAGGACTTGTTTGGGTTTTTGGCTCAAAACTTAGTAAATATGGATGTACCGATTGGAAAGAAAATAATCTGCCCATATGAGAACTTGGTCATTAGTTCCGATAATGAGGTTTCTTATAATCATATTTCCCCAACATTACATGAAGAAGCAGATGTTCGACTCTTACTACATACTAAACAAAAAATAATTAAAATTAAGAGTAGTATACGTAATAAACAATTTTTTTTGTTTTGTTGTTTTAATGTTTCAATTTGTTTAGAATAAAACAGTCAATTTTCACTTATTTATTCCAATTTTAAGGGATGCGTGAAAACTACCCCTCCTACAAAAAAACTGAATATAGGTTTTTTTAGCAAATTATTCAAGCTTTAAAATGAGCTATTAAAACTTACAATCGGTTAAATATTAACAAAGTTACAAGTGATAATCCAATTTCATGCTAAAAATTTGGTCCGCCATTTTAAATGGATTTAGGATGATCCGGAGATGCGAGAGATTGTCTCCCGGCAATTTTTGAAGCCTTATTATCTCTAGAAGGCGTGTGCCAAATTTGGTGCTGGTGTCCGGCACTGAAATATTTTTATATTTTTATTCCTATAGAAGAGGGTGTTTCCCTTTAAAAGCGTCCAGTTTGACCCACCCTGTACAGGGTGAGATTTCTACGATGTTCTCCCTCCAAAGGCTCCAAACCCCAACTGTAGACTTTTTATTAACCATTATAATAAATATTATAATTATAAACACGTGTTTTATTAAATTTATTAATATTTACTAACGCTTTGTGAATTTACAAAAGTAATTGTAAATTCAGTATAATATAATGTTTTAATTTGTTGTTACTTTATAGTGATAGTACAAGAAGTTGGCGATTTTAAAAGATAAATTTACAATTAATAAGTCAATTTACTATGAGATACACATTTTTAAATAAATTCAGAAAGAATATTGGTGAATATAAAGATATATTATAACCATAGACTTAAAATAAAATATAGACTACACTATTTACATCTCAACGTGGACAAACAATATTTTTTGTACACATGTTTACTTCTGGATACAGTCGACCGAGCCTTCCTCATCCAGCCTATGTTGTCACGTCTTTAATATTATCAATATTTTTTTCTTGTTATACACATATATTGAGATATTAATACTACAGTTTAATAAAGTAGGTTTTAATATTCCATAGATGTATTAAATTGTCCTTATACTACTAAATTATAAGTCGGATACTGTTTAAAAAGGATAAGTTCTTTACAATATGACAACGCCGATTAGAGGCGAGGGAGCCTATTCATTCATTTATTACCTTGTAGTACGTGTCGCAAGTGTGCGGTAAAGCTTTGTTGCCGTTATCTCCCCGGCTGTATTAACGCATTTTCTTAGCTTGTAGTCCTTAAGTGTTCATTATATTGACTTTTTCTGTTCAAGAACTATAAAATATGGTTCGCCAGTGCCAAATTTGCAAGAAATTTGACTTAAATAATCTATTTAATTCTTGAAACGACTTTTGACCAGTAGGCAACTCTCAATTTACCCATTAGGAGTCAGTGGCGTTGCTGTAGAAAGGCGCTTATTTAGATAATATTTTAGTAAAATGTAAAATCTGAATTTTTTCTCTTACATTACATTATTTACTTACTTACATTGTAACAAAATCATAATTATAACCCTGTTAATAATTAATAATGTTTTTATTAAAAATATATTCCGGTTTATTCTAAAATTATCTTCAGGATCTAAAATAACATACAGTAATTTTAAAATGATATTACATTATAAAACAATATTTTTTAATATACCGGGTCGCCTCAAAAGTGGCTCACCCCTATAACTTTTTTATTTTTTCAGATAAAAAAAAACAGATTTGTATGTTAGTAGGTATATGACATAAATTAGGATTTATTGACGTATTCAATTGTTTTTGGTCTCTTCCTGTTTCACCGAAATGATCTTTTGATTTTTAAAGGCACCCTCGGTATATTGCTACTTTGTTCGATAAAAAATGACACTCTGAATAGAATGACATATCATATGTCAACTTTTGACATTGTCGCTTAAAAACAAATCCTATTTTAAATTTCAATCCAGGGTGCCATGGTGTTGTTAAAAACACTAAGTTTTAATCAAGGATTATTTATTGATCAGATATTGTGTTGCAATAATAAACATTTTACTACCTTATACAGAGTGTCCAAAAATTTATATTAAATAATTACTAGCTTTAAACGGCAATAACGTGTTTAAGTTAAATGGAACACCCTGTATATTTTACGTGAATCATATGCACAATTTAATTGTCTATCAAATTTTATTATACCATTTTTTACCTATCTCTACAACTTTTCGTAGAAAATGCATTTTCTTATAATTTAGACCTCATTTATCACTATACCCATGGAATATTGATTTCAATTTTTTTTTAAGCAACATATATGCAGAAAATGTACAAGTGTAAATATTGCAAGCCTATTGGTATACCAAAAAAACTATTTAAATCTTTATAAAAGAGTATACGAATTAAATATACCATCATTATTTCCGACCAAAAATTAGTTAATTACATACTTTTAAATTGTTTTAATTAATAAAGTATTCTAAATAAATGTGGATTTGGCTCAGAAATCAATATAATAATAAATTATGAAAATAAACGTCTGTTTTTATAAATCAGCATTCGTCAAAAAATGAAATAAAATTTATAAGGCCGTTACTTTTTACCACACTGTCTAATACACACACAAAATTCAGTTTTTTAGTATTTGGAGCAATTATTATTAATCAACATAAACAGTCAATTAATGTAGTCTGAATACTGGGATCATATTAATTGGTCCTTTTTAACAAAAATATTTAAACAGTTTTTTTAATTTTTTTATGAAATAAGCGAGCTATATCGACAATATTAGTATCTGTACTCTTGGGAAATTTGTTACATCTTTAATAATAATCTAAAATGTCAATATTCCATGGGTATAGTGATAAATGAGGTCTAAATTATAAGAAAATGCATTTTCTACGAAAACTTGAAGAGATAGGTAAAAAATTGTATAATACAATTTGATAGACAACTACATTGTGCATCTGATTCACGCAAAATATACAGGGTGTTCCATTTAAATTAAACACACTATTGCCGTTTAAAGCTAGTAATTATTTAATATACATTTTTGGACACTCTGTATAAGGTAGTAAATTTTTTATTATTGCAACACAATATCTGGTCAATAAATAATCTTCAGTAAATATTTAGTATTAAAAACTTTGATGCCCTTGGAGAAATGAAGCCTTAAAATTTTACTGCAATTTCATAAAATTGAAAATATTTCGAAAACGGTAAGGTTTAAGTATGATGAACCTTAATCAAATTTACCTTTATTTTAATCGTAGAATCTAAAAATAGAATAATATACAGGGAGTTCCATTTAAAAAAATACAACTATAATATTTTTTACTTAGTTGGGA